CTAGATTGCTAGATCAAGACTGCTACAGTGCTAGATCATGTGTCCCCCCCCCCTCCCCTCTCTCTCCATACCCCCATTTAACCTTGCAACTGAGCTTGTGTCAATGGTCTTCCTCAACAAAGTTGCTTCTCCATATCTTTTCTGTGACCACTCGCATGACTCCTGCTCTCAAGAACTTGCAAGATGTGTACCTTCTTCAAGTGAGGTGGGGTCTCTTTATCCTAATACACTACAGCTTCCCACGGGGAATTGAACGCTTCACACTCTCCTTATCCATTGCCAAGTCATCTTGTGGAATGACCCAATCACCCAGCGTGTTCCCGACACCTTTGATCTTCAGTCTTTCAAGAGCCGTCCGTCTATGGGGCCTTTTCTTCACCTCGGAGTGAACTTGTCTTGTATTTTTCCTTAAAGTTTTATGAATTTTGTGTGAGCAGTTTATGCCCTACCCGTGCAGGCGCAGACACGAGGCCGACACGAGCAGACACGATGCCGACACGAGCAGACACGAGGCCGACACGAGCAGACACGAGGCCGACATGAGCAGACACGAGGCCGACACGAGCAGACACGAGGCCGACACGAGCAGTGTTCTGGCACACTGCTCAGCTTTAAATAAAAATCTGCAGTGGAAAATGTAATTTCGAATAAAGAAATATTTGTATATTTTGGTCCTTCAGTGAGGAGGTGCGAGAGACCTGGTGATGGGTCACGTGACCAACAGGTGTCACTGGGACACGACCAACAGGTGTCACTGGGACACGACCAGCAGGTGTCCCTGGGACACGACCAACAGGTGTCACTGGGACACGACCAGCAGGCGTCCCTGGGACACGACCAACAGGTGTCACTGGGACACGACCAGCAGGTGTCACTGGGACCAACAGGTGTCACTGGGACACGACCAACAGGTGTCACTGGGACACGACCAACAGGTGTCACTGGGACACGACCAACAGGTGTCACTGGGACACTGGGACACGACCAACAGGTGTCACTGGGACACGACCAACAGGTGTCACTGGGACACGACCAACAGGTGTCACTGGGACACGACCAACAGGTGTCACTGGGACACGACCAACAGGTGTCACTGGGACACGACCAACAGGTGTCACTGGGACACGACCAACAGGTGTCACTGGGACACGGCCAACAGGTGTCACTGGGACACGACCAACAGGTGTCACTGGGACACGACCAACAGGTGTCACTGGGACACGACCAACAGGTGTCACTGGGACACGACCAACAGGTGTCACTGGGACAGGTCGTGTGGGTGTCGCGAGTCAACCGCTCATGCTAGTCATTGTCCGGCCATTTCGTTTGTCAAACATTTCCTTTACCTTTGTCAAAGAATCTGGTATAAAATGCAGGTCAGCGTTCGATCCCCGATGATCGAAGGGGTTGGGCATAGTTCCTTCACTCATTTCTCCTATCCCAACTCTTATCCTGCCCTCATGTTACTTCCAAGTGTCATATCATCATGCTGACTTAACACACATTCTATGATAACTATCTTACCATGATGTGGTGCTAGTTTGAACAGTAAGAGTCAAGTTGCTTGGGTCCAAGGCAGTAATCAAGTGTCCTCGTCATTATAATATTCAGAAGCAGCAACTTTCATGCTATTAATAATTTCATTTTAAATTGTATGGTAGACACTGCATGATCTACTCAAGTGACTGGAGTGTTTCTGATGCTGATAGGGAGGTGACGAGGTAAATGGACGCGGGGTGCTTGGTGGGTGTGAGAATGGACGCGGGGTGCTTGGTGGGTGTGAGAATGGACGCGGGGTGCTTGGTGGGTGTGAGAATAGACGCAATGTGCTTGGTGGGTGTGAGTTGAGGACCTGCGCACGTGGTAGGTGGCCACGTGCGGCTCAAGGATACAAGCAAGACCTTGTTGAGACGGAGAGCAGCGTGGGAGAGGAGCGCTCTGGCGGAGAGCTGTGGCGGTAAATTCCGTATAGGAGTTCAGAGTTTGTAAATATGAGAGTTGTGAGATGGAGGCGCCACCCCAAGACGGACCCCAGAAGCTGTGAGAGCACACACACACACACACACACACACACACACACACACACACACACACACACACACACACACACACACACACACACACACACACACACACACGTGGTGGAGGCTGACTCCATACACAGTTTCAAATGTAGATATGATAGAGCCCAGTAGGCTCAGGAATCTGTACACCAGTTGATTGACACTTGAGAGGCGGGACCAAAGAGCCAAAGCTCAACCCCCGCAAGCACAATTAGGTGAGTTAGGTGAGTACACACACACACACACACACACACGTCTTGAACACAGCAAGTGAACACCAGGTTAACTACAGGTGAGAGCGGCGAAGAGAGAGACGGTCCTACAAGCGACCTGATCACCCATAAACAAGGCGGCAGCATCGTTGCCAGCAGGTGATGACTGTTATTGTGGGCAGTGAGGCCTGGAGCGGAGTCCTCCTTGTTCCTCCAAAGTACACATTGTACATGCCACTGAGTGAATGCTAACGTTGTAATTTTGATCGTAAGTCCTCGATGTTATGGTGGACGGGTAGCACGCATGTACGGACCTGTATACTCGCCTCTTTTTTTTTTTTTTGTATGCAGGATCGAGCGTCAGTCTTAGAGCCAAGTTTTCCAGCCGTTGGACATTTAATGCAATAACTGCTGATCGTTTGTTGCTCATCATATCTACTTTTAGAAGTGCGGCTGGAGGTGGCTGCCTCGTCTGGTGCTTCAGTCTCCAGCTACAGTGTTACTCTAAAGAAGTATTTCCTCACATCTCTCTCATCATTGTCTCTAGCTTCCGTCTATGTCTTCTTTTTCAGTTTTACAGTGCGGCTGGACCGTCCCTCGAGCCCCGTCCCCGTCCAGCGTACTTCCGGCCCCAGTACCTGTCTTACACACCTATATGTACCTGTCCAAGCTTCCTTGACTGTTTTTGGCGGTGGGAACTCTTTATGTCGGGCTGCATGTTCTAAGGACTAGTCTTACGTCGGTTGTGGACAGTGTTTCTGAAAGCCTCCTTATCAGGATCCCTGAAGGCTGTTCTAATGTTCTCCATTTTCTCATATGCGGCTGACGTTATCCTGTTTTCGTGGGTTTAGACTTTGTGTTACATCTGCTTGGGCTTTGATTCTTTCAGGGCGCGAACCATGACCTCTTCTCCCTGTCCCCATGGTAACCTCTCCCCATGGTAACCTCTCCCCATGGTTACCTCCCCCCTCTCTCCCCATAGTAACCCCGCTCTTCCCTGTCCCCTTGGTAACCTCTCCCCTCTCCCCATGTTCATCACGAAGTTACTGGTGTTGAATTTTAGGAGACATGTCTGAGACCGACTCCGCAGACATCGTCTGTCCTGATTCTTCTCATTTATTTTGTATCATCAGCAAGTAGAAAGTGTGGGGGGAGGCCAGGAGCTGCGACCCGGGGGATTGGAGGGCAAGGAGTGGGGGGAGGGGGATGGTGTGGTCAGGGAGTGTGGGGGGTGGGGGATGGTGTGGTCAGGAATTGTGGGGAAGATGGTTGGGGAGGCCAGGATGTAGGGAGAGATGAGGAGGATGTGATTTAGGAAGATGAGAGGGGAGAGGGACCTAGATGAGGGAGGGAAGCCTGGGGGAGGGAGGGAGGTCCTGGGGGAGGGAGAGGGGGCCGGGAGGGGGGGGGGAGACAAAGAGATGAGTAAAACACAGCAGGATGAAGAAGCTGCCAAGGCGATAACACCATACGAAGGACATCCAGAAAAAAAATCCCAGGGGGAGCGAGATCTCCCGAGTGAACAACACGACAGACACAAGATGAGAGCACCCCTACGGAGGACACCAAGGTGAGAACACAGATGGGACACACAGGGGGAAGAGCCCTTGTGGGACACAGGTGTGGTATGATGGGGGGGGGGGAGGCATATATGTACCGCCCCTTTGGTCACTTTCTTGCGGTCCATTTATCATAACTCCAGTTGAACGTCCCACTGAAGCTGTGTCAAAATACATATCCCAACTCCAGACTTCTGAACTGTTGCCATGACAAACCAGTTTAGTTGAAATTAGCAATTTTACGCCATCGATGGTGGCATCGTCACCACCATGGTGGGCCCACACCTGTCATAGCCGCACACCAACACCACCATGACGGGCCCACACCTGTCATAACTTTACACCATCACCACCATGACGGGGCCCAAACCTGCCATAACCACTCACCATCACCACCATGACTGGGCCCACACCTACCATTTCAACTTTTCAACATGAATCAGTTCTTAATAAATTTGTATAAGCTTCCAATTAGGCTAGAGCTTATTTCCGAAGTGTAACTGTCCTCACCTAATGAGTACAGTTACTCTGTCCTCACCAACTTGTAAATCCCATATAGCTACAAAAATGTCCTCTTGGATAAAAGTTCTAACATGATGTTTCGCTTGGTCTGCGGTAGTGGCTCCAGCCCTCCAGCGTTATTAGTGGGTACCTTGCCTCTGCAGGGGGTGGGGAGGGGACAGTCCTTCAAAAACAATGAATCATGTAGTGCGGTGTGGCAGCACCCTGGAGGTGCAAGGCGCCCACCTGTCGGTGGAGGAGCCGCCGTCAGGACCACTGGCTGCCAACCTGTGGCTCCTGGTTCGTGTAGTAACGTGATAGTGGAAGTTTTATTGGTGTTGGAGGAGCACCATTACGCTACCTAACTGGTGTGAAGCGTGGCGCTTCTCAAGTTTTATTGCAGTGCGTTATTATCAAAAAGAGTATCATTATTAGCCTCGAGGAGCGGCAATTACTTAATAATCTAACAGTTTGTACCTTATAATTTTGATCTTCCGTCACGAGAAAGACAATTAGCGCAGCCTGGCTTATTTGTGTGCCAGCCAATAAAGATGAGTTTAGGGTGCCGAGAGACCAATCAGAGGGCGGGATGGGTGTCAAGCTCCTCCCCTAAGGTCCCACCTCCCCCCTCCCTCCCCCTGCTGCGCTCCCCAAGGATGGGTGCAAGAACCACCGCCGTTTCAGTTGACTGGGAGACCTTGCGCGGGGTGTATGTGTTAATGCTCCTCCAAGTTGACGACAGCGGTGTTCCGTGTTGTGTTAGGAATCGTTGAAGTAGGTGATGAGTATGATACTTAGGAGGAGGAAGTGTTTGTACCATGCTCTTTAAAGGCAACAGTTCCAAGCTGGAGTTGTTAATTGAAAAAATACAAGCAAATAAAGAAAACGGCCCCGACAGTGAAACCGGCAGTGTGGCGAATGAAGGTAAGTTGGCAACCACGTGCAAGGCAAATTAGTGAGGATTGTATTGCGTGTTCCCGAGGCGTGTTCTCTAGGGGTGGTCTTTCCTGTCTGGTACATTTTGCGCCTTGGTTATATAGCGACGTGACCAAACATTTTGACAAATAGGTGTTAAAAAGAATAAGTTTCGTAAGGCTTTTAGCTCATTAGTATAGGGAATGTATTATCGTGTTCCTTGCCCCTCGTCAAGCGTGATTCATACTGTTTTACTTGACCTCTATTACTGATGTACTTTGTTAGTAGCGGAAGGTTCAGGTAGTCTTAAGACAGTGAGAGAAGTTCAGCGAGACACCAACTAGGCTAGTGGTGTAATTTAATTTACCAGGCAGTGTTAAATTTAAATTTACGAACCTGTTCAAGATATGGTGAGTGGCAAGCTTCAAATGTCAAAATTATGTTAAGCCATCATGTGTGGTATGGTCATGTCATGTACCATATATATACCCTAAAGATCACTGAAGTGATGCCTATAATTGCAGTTTTGACAAAACTGCCGACGCAGTTTAGTGAGAATTGCTGTATGTTTTGTTAGCGATCATTCGCCAGCCATGTGTGTGTTACACGAGGCTGTTGGTAACAGCAACAGCAACTGGTGATGTTTATTGTAAGGATGTGACTAAAGGTCCACCAAATATTATTGCAGGCTCTTCGTACTGTATCTCAAATAATATTTCTAGCGTTTTGGTAAAACAATGTATTAAATATTTGTAATAAGTAGTAAAAAAAAGCATGCAGAGTTGTGTATTAAGCTCCGTAATTGTTCTGCAATTTGTTTCTACAGCCTAGTTTTGCCTTGAAAAAAAAATGTTGAGCCCGTTATCGAAATTGTGTGTTCACCAGACATCAATTTTTTTAAAACTTCACGAAATTTAAATTTTTGCTTATATTTAGATTTAATAATTTTAAATGCTGGTTAAAAGTCGGTAGGTGTTATCATATTGCATAGGCCTAATTTAAATATTGCTATATTGGAGCAGTGGTTAGCAAAATGAGGTAGCAAAACAGTGGTACGCAGCTTTGAGCAGCGGATACAGTTAAAGAAAAGTTAAATACATTTAGGATTGAATACGAAAGTTTTCGTGGGAGACCTGGCAAATATTTTAAAATAGTACAACGGCTAACCTTTGCCAGAAACTGTGCATACTAATGACTTTCCGACGATGTTCCGAAATAACGCTTCATCCTTGTCGGCTAAAGAGATTGTTTACTGAACTATCAAGTCTGTAATGTATCACTCGCCAAAACTGTTACAGAACACTCGAGTACATTAAATAATGTGTATAATAGTACGCAGCCTAGTGCATTAGTTGGCTAAAGCCAGCCGTTATTTATTGGGTATATTTATGGCTACCTTAGTTTACAACGCTGCCTTTCACTTAATGACACGACAACGTGACTGAGGATGTGGTTTATTACGCTGTTGGGAAAGAGTTTGACTGGATTATGTATGCATCGTGTTATTTGGCCGTGTCTTCACTCTGTGGCCACGGGATTTTTATTTATTTTTATTTAAAAGTAGAGTACCAGGTGGGTCAAGGAAGTGTTAGATTACTTTGAATCTTGTATAGATTTAGATAATTTAACTAGATAATGTCGTTTCAATAACGAGGCTGAGAATAGCATTTGTACATGTATAATTGAATTACATTAGCTACTCATTATCCTCTTTATTAATACATCAACAATACACGAGCATTTCAAATTAGTATAATAATCTATATAAAAACACTTAAGCTTTTAGATTATTTTGATGTTCTTTATTAATTTTTGTATTACCCTGTAAACCCATCGCCCTAGATACACGAGGCTAATGCTGGGTGTAAACCTTCATATGTTTGAGTATTATATTAAAGATTGTTATATTATATAGTTAAAGCTGCGGCTGTGACCGTCAATTTAATTACTGTTTAATACTTGTATTTTCTAAACTATAAATAATATAGTTGTACATAAAGGTATGGCTTCGTGTGTGAAGCACATGTAAGGTGTGCTTGGAAAACCACAACGTGGCCTTAGGCTACGCTCATCCACGCTGCAGCCGACCCCATAAACATGTTCATAAATTTTGACTTCCTTGTTTTAAAAATCTGTATTTTCTCGTATAAAATATTATACATTGGAATTTGGTGTGTAGCTAGGCCCATGTTAGATATTTTGATTCTGTTGGCATTTATTTGGAGCAAGTGGGCGAATCACATCACCTAAAACGTTCACTCCAGATACATAGATACAAATAATATCAAATATAGCCTAAGCAAATCCACACACACAAAACTAAAGTATAAAATGTTAATATATCAAAATAGCTTATTTGTGCAGCACTGAAAAATTTACGCAGGCGTCTTTTGGAGAGGGCCGTAGCCTGAAGGTGATATTGTGAGGGCCGGGGGTTTGAAAGCCAACTAACACCCTTATTCAATACTTACATTTAATTTTGAACAGGTTTGGATGTAGGTTCAGGTTCATGGAACAGGTTCACATTGTATTTGTGATGTTTGGCTTTCTTATATATGTATATATTATTTTTTGTTTGGTTTTGTATATATATTGTATCCTTGTTAATGTGACTAGGGAAAAGATTGTTTACGTTGGTTTTCATGTTTTATTGTTTCCCTTAGTTCTATGTGTTGTAATATTAATAGTTGAATGTATTTATTTAATTGAATTGTTCGCCATTGATTTTGCTTCGGAATGCGTGCCCGGTTAAAATTTACATGTTCTTTTATTTATCAATATTCTGTGTTATTAATAATAAAAAAGACATTTAATGGAAACCATGATATTTGGATACTGGATAAAATCAATGTTAATTTTAAAATAACTCGCCTGACATAATAGGTTAATATTATTTGAATGTTTGTTACACATTAGTTACAACAACAGTTACGTTGGCTGCAACAAATCCATATTATTTGAGAGCATCAAACTCTTGTAGCATTAATCGGCTTTGATATTTTGTTTGAGAACATTAAGATAATTGCGTGTAATAAAACGAAGCCAAAAGTAAGAGACGCCGTCATTATTGTGAAAGGAAGGTTTCGTGACGCATGACTACACATCGTAATGGTTTTTATCCTAGAAAACCAATTTGACGTGTAGCAAGACTCGTTAACAGTGGTGCCGCGCTGGCAGGTAAATTAGATCACGTCTCGCAAAACGCACAAGGATGAGCTAGCCAAGTGCACACGACCAGCCTAAACTGATTGTTGATAACCTCTCCAGTTACGACCCAGAGCTTTTTGCCTTAAATACTGCGAGTTAAGAGTGCGGTTCTTGCTGCGTTATATGACGTCATTAACGTTGATTGCAGGGGAATGCAGCCACCACGCATTTCTAATTTATTCGCTCAAAAAATCGTCTTGCATTTTTGTCCAGTAAATGTAGTATCGGTAACTTGGGGAATAATTGAGTTCTCGGGGCGTTCGTTAGTGGTCACAATAAACTTTTACTAACATTTCGGCCGTTAAGAGCGTCCTGTAACGTAGTTGTTCTCAGTTCTGCAGTCATTCATTGTAGTGATGTTGATTGAATCTTGCCTAGACGGCTTTATTGAGTAGGCCTCTTGACGAAAGGGGCGAATACATGTGGATTGTAAGTTAAAAACCACAGGCGAGACATAATTATGTCGTCGCTTTAAGTTGATATACAACATTCCATCTGGTTTATTTATCACCTCAGAAGGAAGAACTGCTTTCGACAACAACAAGAATTAATTTAAAATATTTCACCCATGCGCTATAAAGTATCTTGCAAACTAATGATTTTGTTATTAATACTCTGGATAGCCAACTTTCTTCTCCACTTTGATATTACCGACTAGGCTAATTACATAGAACTACTCTGATGTAGTTAAGTTGCGTTATTTCAGATAACTAATTTGAAAGTAAATTTATATTACAATTTTATTTCTCTTTATCGATAGCAGTTTTCACAAGGCAAGGCAATTATCAGGGGAAAGCGCCAAGCAATTACGACTATATAGCACTTGAAAGGGGTCAGGATTAGGATTTGGGATGGGACGGGGGTTAGGAATGGTGTCCAACCGCTTGGACGGTCGGGGATTGAACGCCGACCTGCATGAAGCGAGACCGTCGCGGATTGAACGCCGACCTGCATGAAGCGAGACCGTCGCTCTATCGTCCAGCCCAAGTTGTTGGCAGTTTTCACAAGAGCGAGGTGCCAAGAAATATCCCGCCATATGATGGATAATTGTTTCCGAATAGTTCATTCCCTACAACATCTAAGATTCTCTGAAAGATGAGCGTTGTTAAGAAGGGGGGGGTTTAATATCATAGACAAAACAGGACATGTTTACATCTTATCCTAATTAGCTGTTCGATGCTCTTTTCTAAATATTTCCCGATACTTTGCATATTAGTTCTTGGTGGATTTTTCCACCAAATCTTAATTCCTGTAAAGGTAATCAAAATTTTGTATTTAATTTTTTGTTATAATATCAACTTTTAAGAAACGTTGAATTCAGGAAAAGGTGGTAATTATGCAGAACCTGACACTAACGTGTGCCTTATGATCCACAGTACAGCCTAGGCTAAATTTTGTAAGCTTAAGCGGTGAATACCCAGATGTTTGTGTCGGTCACATCTGTCCCTCTCTCTTGCACGTCCCTCCCCCTCTGCCCCTTCTCTTCTTCCTGTACGTCCTGCCCACGTCTGCCCCTTTTCTTTCCCGCACGTCCCGCCCCTCTGCCCTTTGTATAATAACCATCACTACCTTATTTATCCTTAACCAATGACAATTGCTAACAATTCGTTGGAAGGGATTTGTCAAATGGCTAAATTTTATGTTGTAAATTTAGATGGTCGGCGAAGAAAAGCTTTTTTAAATTGTATTCACCGAAAGTGGACTAGGTTTTGTAATGCGTGTTTTCTAAGGCAAGGAAATATTTACATTGGCAAAGCTAGTGTAAGCCTCCGAAGTGTTTTCTTGATGACCGCGAGATTGTA